GAAATCTAGACATAACGACCATTATGGGCTGGTAACATCAAGATTTTCACAAGCATCATCGCACGGTGGACGCTTCGCGACAAAGTGCGCGATCATGCCTTCGAGGCCAAACTGCCGGAGGAAACAGGAAAGGTTTCCTTTGAAAAACAAAAGAAATTTTTCGGAGGAAGAATCCAGTTTACCGATACTGAATCCATGAATAATTGCTCCGCGCTGTAAAGGACAAGCCTTTTTGCTACTACACTGAACATGTGCTACAGAGATACAAGTAAGTACGGCTTGGAAAACCAACGAGTTTAAGTAGGAAGTCTGAAAAGTGGGTTGTCATTTTCGATCATAATAACAAACACACATTTTGTGTCGATAATCGCTTTTCGATATTATCAAATACGCTTATCTGTTCCGGTTAAATGAACGACTTTTAGATGCATCAAAGGCCTCCAAATCGCCAAAAAAACATGCCCTTTTCTTATTTTAGAAGGAGGTTAAAAAAAAAATGACAGGAATTAATTCATTGATTCTAAAAACACTGATCTCCAGCATGTTATCATGGTACAGCTATGAATTGAGTGTTTACAAAAATTCAAAACATCCGCGCAATAACATGGGAAAAACAAAAATTGTTTTCGCTCCTAAAAGCCTTCAAAACTAAAGCAGTCTAAGGTTAAAAGTGTCAAAGAAAAAACACCTGACAAAACGTTAAGTGTGGAATTCATTTTACCAATGAAAACTCGCAGATCGCAAATGTTCTCAGAATTCTCACAGCCGAGAGGCATGTTTCTAAATTAATGTCTAAGAGCAGCTTTAAAATATTTCCGAAGGTGTATGCAATACACCTTCGGGAACATTTTAAGGCAATAAGGCAATGTTGCATAATATTCTAAGGCAATATTGCAAACAACGGTTATTTCTAAAAATATCTCACGCACGTGATAGAATAACCCACAGACATGACTGAAGAAAAGTTCTCCTAAAAATAACAGCACTTCTCATAGATTTTCGATACTTAAACGCGAAACACGTAGGTACATGTAGATAGAAAGGGCATGTATTTGTATTCATAGATGTTTTCTCAAGACAAGGCGTTTTACACTTCGAGCAGCCAACCGTAAACACCTATCACCAAAATAACTTTATAGCATTGCCAAGTGCTCTTTTAGACTTTGTAAGATAACTTTTCTCGGCAAAGCCATCTAAAACTAAAATTCCCTTTCCAAGTCACAGGTATAAATAGAACATCTACTCAAAAGCAACTTACTATCAGCGATGTCTTATTTCTCCAGTGATTGTTACGTTGAATAGGGGCACCAAATAGAAAAAAGGTACCATTTTAACCTAAACTACAACGGATGGAGACATTCGCAATAGGGAGACCGAAAGTTTACATCAAAGTTAACCAGGGCAGATTTTTTAAACATATTCAGCTTATTCTTCTCTAAGCCCAAGCGATTTTACTCGATGTCAATTATCTTTTCGCTTCCTCGTGAACGCATACACTCGGGTTTTCTGGAACATGGCTATCAATCGTAGAGTAAAATGCTTTTCTTTTTTTCTTTTTCTTGTTTTTCTTATTTTTTGGATATGGGTCTAGCGCTTTAAGCGTGAGGAGATTGTTTTTTCTATCCATGCATACGTCCACGCGTGCACGTAAAACCCGAATGAAAAAATAAAATGAAAACGGTCTAGACTTGGGTTTGCACGCATCCACGTGATTCTTCCACGATCGTTTACATGCACGCAAACAGTCCACAATCGAGCGAGTCATGAGTTAACGCAGCAGCTCGTGACGCGCGAGTCCTTTCCACGCGCACGTAGTTTTGACGCGCCAATGGTGACCGGTTGACATAATGTTACACCAGGAAGAAATGAGCGGGAAGCAGCAGCCATTTGATTAGATATGTCTGGACCGGGGCTATGGGTGTTGATATAAGAGATGTAAAAAGAGAAAACAGACATCGTTTACACAACGTCCAGTCTTTCTGCTGTAACATTCACACATGTAACATCCTAAAACTCTCCTCTCCTAAGTGCAAAAGGCCCAAACATCGCTCCACGTGGTTTTCCAATCCTAGGTTTGACTGAGTGTGTGAAATGTTTTACAGCATGTACTATTGGGCCTAGCTGATTTTCAAGAAATCAGAAAGCGACAGAAAAAAGAAAGAGGGATTGAGTAGCGTCCCACAAATCCGCGGGAATTTTTCAAAACCGTTGTTGTGATTGTTGTTGCTGTTTTCTTTTTTGATCTGTTTTGTTTGACTGTTTGTTGTTTTTGATGGAATTTTTGTAACATCTGCGAGTTAAAATTATTAACGGGCTTAAAAAGAAGTCTGAAATAACAGCGACTGTACCAGACTCAACAGTCCGACTGCGACATAATCTTTGAAAACCTTAACGGGAACGTGGGTGACAGAAGCGGTGGAATGGGGAAAGCAAAGGTTGGGGGAAGGATCTGGGCCCAGGTGCTCAAAGGACGGATAACGCTATCTTACGCATGAATCCAAGGTAGCTGTTACAGAACGTACGGCGCTATCCACCTGGGTCCAGTTGTGTAAAAGTCGAATAACGTTATCCAACAGATAAATCGCTATCCAGTGAATAAGAGATGTATCGAGCGGATAGTTTTATTCGAACTTCGAACAACTGATAGCGATTTATCAAGTGGACAGCGTTATCCACCCTTTGACCGAGGCCTGTACAATTGTGAAAGGAAAAGAACACATCTTACCGATCTTGACCTGGATTTATCATCGGACACTTCGTTTTTACCACTGCCCTTCTCGCTGTTGCTGTGGTGACTGGACATCACCACTCCCGGATTGGAGTTTAGGGAGCCGTATTTACTGAGCGAGCCGTAGCCTGATGACTCAGATGATGTATCTGCAAAACAAGCACAAACAGGTCCATTTACACAATTGCTTTGCTTTCTCTACGCTTTAAAACTAGCAAGTTTTTTTCCTTGGTAGATACACTTTTCCCTGAAGCCTTGCTGGAATAAAAATTTCCCAAACACCCCTCTAAAATTTGCTCTGCAGTTGTCCTAACCAAAACATCCACACGAGCAAATTTAACATTGACAACAGGCATATCAGTTTTGTGAACTTAAGGTACTTGTCTAGCAAAAACTTTTCGAGAACTGCAAACAACTCTCCATGCACTTCTAGACACCCTGGTTGAGAGAAAGTGAGCAATAATCCTTGCGAAAACATAAAAGTCAGTGAGGCTCTAATGGGCGAAGTAAACGTTGTAAGCATCACTGAGTCTGCGTAAAAAATCCAGTCGTACATCACACATGCGTCTAACTAACAGCGCAAGAACGAGCCAGTAATGACGATCATGATAAAGACATTCACGAGGACAAAACCTAGAAAACAAATGCCTAGCTGTGTATCTTTAATGCAAAATAACTCCAAAGCTTAAAAGTACAAATTCAAGAAAAAACCATACACCAGGGCGTTGACAACCGACTGAAGTCTCAAACCGTCTACTCCCATCCCTCTCTCCATCTATCCATCAAACTAAGCTACCTCAAAAGACTGAATAGGACACATTGCCCTACGCACTAAACGAGCAATGAATTGCGATGCGCTTTTTCACTGTGAGGACGGTTTCAATAGTTTCGCAAAACCTCTTTCCCACAACTGACTAAAGAGCCAGAATTTTCTTGGTCAATAACGTACAAAACCCCCTTCTCCACGCTGCCCTCGCCCCTTCAGGCAGAATAAAATAACATATAACTACACCAACACAAAAACAAAATAAAAAATAATCAGTGACGATCAAGTAAAATCAAACGCATTGTTATGAGAGACAAGCCGGATATAGCGAATTCTTCCCTGGTAAGACGGTAGGTACTTTCCGCTTTGCTGAAATGTCTACGTTACACCATCAGTCTTACATGTCACACCATCTCAAGGTAAGTAGAGATCTATGTTAATTACATAAGTTTAAATATGTCATCAGAGGGCTACAATAATCATTACAAGGTTCCCTACCACGTGGAAATAGCTTTTTCCAAGTCCAGCAACATATACAAAAATTACCTTCCACATGGAACGCAAATTATTGAAACCAGTAACGTGCTGTGGTAGTACTTGCTAATTTTAACGAGAAGCACACTTAAGCAGCAACACTGACCTATTCCATGCTATCTAAAGAAAAACAGCAAGTGCGAGATGTTTTCACGTGAATGTGTCAAGTCAAGCCAAAGTCGCATTACTCAGAAACTACCTTGGTAAAAACTTAAGTATTAGCTTGTCCAGACACCTGAGTGCTTAAAAAGTTTCAGCTCCAACAGCAAGGAGGTGAGGTTTTTTCACAAGGCAAGTAAATCAATACCGAGAATACTGGAATATTAAAAGAGATAAAACATCAATAATATCATGTCCACTCTGCTATAACTGCCGCCAAAAATTTTAAAAAAATGAAAAAACCACATTTGAACTCCTGATAGACTAGTGAATATCGAAGATGCTGTTTAAAATGTTGTTAAACAGAGAAGCTCAATAGATTTTAAACTTGCTTGGACATATCTAGTACCGGCGGAGAGGAGAGTACCTTTCTCATCGCTATAATTACGCATTTCATGTACGTCTCCTCCAAACAATGTTTCACAAATTGAGATGCTTTTTGAGATAGAGACGAACTCCTATGAAACGAACAAACTAGCAGAGGTATATTTTCACATAATAAGTTTTAACACATAGAAACAAGCGAAAACGAGAATTGAAATAGGATTTAAGACACAACCACGAAACTGTGACATGATGAAATCGATCGCGAGAGTCACTGGAAGGTTGCAGAACAAAACAATCTGATTACATTTAGTATTTTAAACTATTTACTCTGTTTAACCTTATAACGGGAGAGACAAAACTTTTTAAAATCTAGGCTTTTGAATGTCAAATAGTTTTCCTTGCTTTTGTAGAAGATGGAGATATAACCACTCATCGTCGTTACAACGGGACAGTTCAAAATAACAAATGATACCTATCGGATATAAGTAAAAAACTGGCCAAACTTTTTAGTACAATTGTAAATATTTGCACAAAGATCTAAAATAAGTTCTTGCTTACGCAGAGCATCTTCACCCTCGGAAAAGGAGAGTACGTCACTAAAAAATGCTTTAAATTATCATATATCTTCCACCTCGATGGCATCTTCTTAGAAATAGCATGTTACCTTACTTTGCACATATCCGTTCCCTATTAATAACATGTCCTTCTTAAGTTGAATGTTATATCCTTGAAAAAATCTACTATCCCTACTTTTCACAAGCAGCTTGCAGTACGCAAAGATATCTCGCATAAAGCCTTACTATAACTCTACAAATTCAAATGCGTACACGTTGCTTCTCAAAGCCTTGAGTTAGCGATCAGTTTGCAAAGGCTAGCATGAAGATATTCAATAAAGTTATTTGGTAGCTTTATCTGAGTTATTGTTGCTGTCCTTCTTGCCCCGTCCGCTCAGTCGCAGTATTCCAGCCAGGAAGATCTCGCTATACCTTCTGACTATACTTGAACTTGTAACCTCATCTGAGTTCAGGAGTAGCATTAGATAAAAAGACTCTCAAAAAACACAATACTAAAGTTGTTTGTACTCTGTTCCTTCCATCGTTATTTCATAATTACCTGACAACTTCCATAATGTATCATCTAATTCAAATCAACCAAGCAAGCAAACCAAGCCAGAGCAACAAGGTAATTTAGTATTATCAGCTGAGTTGATAACGTAAGTTGGCTACCGTAAAGAGTTTCAAAGCTGACGTTTTGAGCGTCAGACCTTCGTCATTCGC